GGGGGGGGGGGGGGGGGGGAATTTTCACGAAACGTTTGCTCGCCACCACAGCAACCCAACTCGGGCCAACTATATAAATATTTAATGTATTTTTATGATTGATGATAAAAATGCGCAAACATTTATTGTTTTTATCACCTGTCATGTAACCCTCGAGGAGTTTTCGCGAACTTGCGCGTGACTTTCAAATTATTCGTTTTTGATTCTGATACATGTGTTATGGGAGGTTTTTTCCTTTCAAGTGCAACTAATGTTTTCAATTTTTCGATTGGGACTATTCTACAATGAAGTACTCTTGGATACTGTTATATATCTAAATACATATGAAGACCAATAAGTGGCATTTATCGGGCAGAGAATCGGCGAGGCATTGCAATGGCAGCATATTTGACGAAATATCGAAGGACACAATATCGAAAATAAAATACACTGCACTGCTTCAAAACTTGACGAAACGTGGTTGGAATCTTCTTTAGCCATTTATCATTATGTAAAAGTACATTATGTATTTACGAGACTGGGCGATAAAAAGCAAACAAGACGGCAAAATATGGCTGAAATCGTGTTTTCGCGGGGGGTAAGTGTCACAAAATGTATTATATTGATAGAAAACAATGACAATAGTGATTTTCCATAGTGTTATTTTCACTCAAAAAAGTCGGATTTTTGTTGCTTCGTCCTAACCAGAAAAAAGGTTTAGGCGAGGGCAATACGGTTTTTTCCCTGTAATGCGCTCTAGGAATTTTCGTGTTCTTATTGTCATATAATAAAGGCTATTAAAATACACACAGAGATGAAGAAATATTTTGCTAAGTATCGGCTTCTGAATGTAAAATGGCTGACATGACACACATGATGATACTTTACTGCCAAATTCCTATATAGATCAAATTTTCCTAAGCGCGACCTTAATAGTTACTTTATCTTCACAAACCTGTTCAGTATGTCCTTTAACATTAGCCTTAAAGATGTACTCGTTGACTGGACAGGATAGAACACGATTTATTTGCATCTCTATAGCTTCCTTTAGAGTTTGATTCTCTTGCCCAGAACATTGTATATATGCCTTTGCAAAATCACTGTGGACATGAAATATTATTTCCGTTGCCATTGCTGCAAGAGAACATATAACACAATCAACTGACATTTCACCTGCATTTGTGAAGCGGGGTCGTAACTTACTGCAGTGTCAATCGACGCTTAAAAGACACGGACGCACATAGATTCAAATATAAACAACCTCTACCAAAAACAGCTCGCCATTTCCATCAATTTCATTTCCCGGACGCGTGGCTATGTTTCATGGGTGCATGGTCGCTGGTCATCTCACTGATCTCAAATATATGGCGGACTGTCGTGAGTGCTATGATGCATGTAATGACTGAGATTTTATTTTATTCAGTACCCATCATAATTACAATAATTATCAATTATTATATTTGATATTTTGTTCAAAGGGCAAAACTCGTAATATTAATGTTGGGAATTGTATTTCTATCCATGTATAAGGCCTGTTCTAAACGTCGCATTTTACATGTGCCGAATCCGAATGCATTCAAAACAATAGATAATCACCAGGGGCCGGTTGTATAAAAAAGTGATTAAAGTTAACTATAATTAGTGGAAACGTCATCCAATAAGAAACGCGTATTTGAGAGTTAATCACTATTTAACCACAAAATAGTGATTAAAAAAGTGATTAAGAGTTTTATACAACCGGCCCCTGAAAGCCTCATTATCCATTTTTTTGAATGCATTCGGCGCATGTAAAATGCGACGTTTAGAACATCATGTAAATCACTGTAGGACTGAAAGTTCTCAAATTCATTAATAATTCATGAACAATTCAGCCAATGATAATCACCTATTTGATCACAAGATGCCATTTGGATAACCCGGTGAAACTTGATGAAAGTCACTAGTGTTTTCATCAAATATCTTAATTGCGCATGCAAAATTACTTGAATAGAATTCCTAATTACGTTATGCTTGGTTAAGAATTCTATTCAAATCAGCAAACGAAAACATTCTGTTACGTCTCGATTCATTTGAGAAGCCATATAAACAACTCGAGCTCGTGTCTCACCAGGATATTCAAACACTCGAAAACAATGTATGAAATGTGTTTGGATATCCCGGTGAAACACTCGCTCTCGTTGTTCATATATTACTTCTCAAAATAGCCGGTGCGAGGCGAAAGGCCGGTAGGATTTAAATTACTGTAGGAAAAGTTCCGTGTACCTAGTACGTACGTACGTACGTGTTTATATTACTTTCATTACTGTTTTCTAGAGATACTCTCTCTGGCTTTACATGACTCTTCCTCTTGTGCACTTTTTTCCACTTCAAATTATTCAGTCTCATACTTTTCCAAGAGCTAAGTTTTTCGTATACAGAACTCCTGTTGTTCCTCCAGTCTGTGGTACTTCGTAAAATGTTAGTTTCAGTTTGTCCCCTTTAACTAGGACTTTGTTTCCTGCTTCTATGTCATGCATGCACTCTTATAAGTTTTTCTTCGTAAATGTACATAATCCGCGCCTTTCTGTTTCATCTCGCTATCCCGATCTTGCACACCGTAGCTTTGTCCGTACCTCTCGCCCAAATAGCAGTTTCGTGGGATTAAAACCCATCGTGGAGTCAGGTGTACTTGATAGACTTTGCCAATCTTTCTTCATGATTTGCGCAATCTTAATCGCCTTGAGTAGGGATCGATTTTGTCTTTCAATTTCGCCATTCCCTTGCGGCCCAGAGCGTCTACTCAAGTTGATGTCAATTTGTTGCTGAAAAACAATTCTGTCACCTCGTAACACCAGTTTCCCAATACAAACAACTCCATTCGTGCCGCCATATGCAGATGGATCGGAATTTCACATATTTTTCTGAATTGAGTTACTTCTCCGTCTTCTGCAGATCTCTTTCCATATCTTTGACATGCACTGCTTCCCGAGCAGCAGGAGTTGCAATATGTCGAACATATTCCTCAGCAATGTTCCGTGAAGTTTCCTGTACGACTCCAAGCCCGACTGGCGTCTGTTTTCACTTGTGTTGCAGCGCTTCCTTCAAAATATATACACGGTAGCAACGTTTCAGCATCTCCTTTCTTGCTCGAAGTGTGTGCCTCCAAATCTGTTTTTTTCTCGTAATTCGTCTTAGTTGGAAGAGAAATTGACCAATCCCATGAAACCATCACCTCTGACGTCGTTATCGGTTCCAAGACTTTAACTTTTTCCTCAGCAGGAGCAATCTCTTATTCGGAAAGAACATGACCCACAAACACCATTCTGGAAATTCGGAACTGATACTTGTCTGGATTCAGAGAGACCCTTCCAAGACTCTTTTTATGCTCCAAGCTTCGACCATGGCAGATAATCCTTGGCGTATTTGCCCGATGTGCTGGAACAGTTCTGGGGCGGATGTAATCCCAAACATCAATATTTATACTAGAAAAGGCCCATGTGTGTAGCAAAAGTTGTTATATCTACAGAATCCTTACCCAATTCAATTTGATGGTACCTCCATCTCAGATGCAACTAGCTAAACACACCACTCTCATTCATATTTTGAAGGACGTCTTCGACTGTTAAAATCGGATGTCTCTCTACAGCTTCATTTTGCTCTCCTTACATCGACACATAATCCGACATCACCATCAGAATCTGAGACCACACAAACCGGATTGCCCATGGTGTTTGACCATCCACTCTTTGAAAACATCTAACTCAAGCAGCTCCTCAATTGTACTTTTACTTCTTAGACTGAAAGAATGTGGCCTCTATTCTTGTCTGACCTCCAAGTCTGTATGTGGATCTTAGCTTGATAATTGTTCAGTTTTCCAAGGCTTTGAAAGCATTCCGGATGTTGGTCCACGCCCAATTGTACAGCGGTTTCTCGACCCAGAAAGGTCTGTCCTTTTCTTGCAATAAATTCGGCCTTGGTCTCTTCGCAATCGCACTGAACCTTTGACTAGTGTCAAGTGGCTTCATTGATCCATATATGAATATAGTTTCCAATTTTCGTTTACTGAATCACATTTAACACCTTCTTCTTTACTAACTCTTCCAACGTATATTTATCGCCAATATTACAGGACATGCCAGTAGTCAATTAACACATTCTTCATGCTTACTCACCAACAAAGACACTTACATCTGCCAAACATTTTCCTTTACTTTAGCTTTCAGTTAAAATTTGTTTGACACTATGTAACCGGCTCAGTTGCTTTTTGTCTCTAGCGGACTTCGTCTTACAAGCGAGAGAGAATGTCCAATCTTCTTAGATTTCTTACAAGTTTCACCAACATGCAGGTCCACCACACCCCACTTTCGACTATCTGAATACTGAACAGTCTTGCCTTTTCGCTCTTTCTTCCTCAGCTTCCAATGTTGATTTCCTCACACCGATCTCCTGGCCTCATTTCGGCGCTTCCATTGACCGTCGTCAGAAGTCTCACCCATTCCCAACAACGTTTGAAGTAAGTTCTTTGTAAGTTTGCATGGCGATAAAACATATAATAATTTTGTTTGTGGAAACACCACGTAAATTTATTACTGCAATAATAAATAAAAAATAATAATTTATTACTGCAGTAATAAATTTACGTGGTGTTTCCACAAACAAAACTATTATAACGTTAGAAGTCTCATCCATTTTCAATCTCCTTGGCACATTTGTCGAAATATACCCGGAAAGTACGTCACCTTGGCTATATTGAGTCTCGATTTCGTGATTGAGACGTTAGACTTTAACTAATGTCACATACACGAAAACGACGCTTTATACCCAAGTTGACGTACAGTACTATCCGGAAGGGTGTATTCGTGTCGCTCGAACAGTGCATATTAATCTGGGGGTGTAAAATGACTCTGCTTCGTCTTACTCCCACTTGCAGGTTTTTTTTCAGGGATTTTTTAGGGCCGTTAAACGGCCCCAAAAACTCAATCTTGAATTGAGTTTTGAAACTCAATCTTCTCACCAACGTTTCAGTGCAGTAAAAATGAAGTTGTTTCAGTTAAATTCGTGACGTGTGGAAATTAGTTTTCAGTTGGAAACCCGACAATTAAGAAAAAAATGACTGGAATTCATCTCACAATACAAGAAAAACTATGCATTCGCCATCTTTAACTAGTTTATAGTGTCCCTCAGCTCGCCCTCAGTGCCCCTGCTTTAACACATTCCGTCGCAACTGCATTTATTGAGTACAGGTGTCAGCCCCCCGGTGGGGGGGGGGGAGGGTGCAGCCACCCCAGCTGTTCAGCTAAACTCAATCTTCTCTGCAAAAACGGACCCAAGAGAAAATCCTGAAAAAACCCTGCAATTGCTGGTTCTTGTAGAGTCGAATACTCTTCTGTCGTTCTGGAACACTCATTTCCGCTGAATGAAGGTTTCCTGCTTTGGATCTGTGACTCCCTTACCATCGATAACGAATTGAAATGCTGTTTTCCATCGTTTCCATCTTGGTTCCATACATTCAAACGTCATTATCCCGCCTATTTTACATCGTACTTAATCGATTCTACACATCATTCATTAACATAATTAAATACATAAACATCACACTTACAGAGCTAGTGATGTTTAAGCTGGGCTAGAAAGGCCCATTTACACGATACGACTAGTCGTATACGATTCTTATCTTGGCATATCGGTATGTACTCGAATAGTGTGTGAAAAGATGTCACATTTCAATTTTCGCCATAAACTGATGAACAGGATTAGTGGCGTAGCAGACGTTTTCGATAACGAATTGAAATGCTGTTTTCCATCGTTTCCATCTTGGTTCCATACATTCAAACGTCATTATCCCGCCTATTTTACATCGTACTTAATCGATTCTACACATCATTCATTAACATAATTAAATACATAAACATCACACTTACAGAGCTAGTGATGTTTAAGCTGGGCTAGAAAGGCCCATTTACACGATACGACTAGTCGTATACGATTCTTATCTTGGCATATCGGTATGTACTCGAATAGTGTGTGAAAAGATGTCACATTTCAATTTTCGCCATAAACTGATGAACAGGATTAGTGGCGTAGCAGACGTTTTCGATAACGAATTGAAATGCTGTTTTCCATCGTTTCCATCTTGGTTCCATACATTCAAACGTCATTATCCCGCCTATTTTACATCGTACTTAATCGATTCTACACATCATTCATTAACATAATTAAATACATAAACATCACACTTACAGAGCTAGTGATGTTTAAGCTGGGCTAGAAAGGCCCATTTACACGATACGACTAGTCGTATAC